GAGACGAGGCGGGGTTCATGGACCGTGGGGGGTGGTTACAGCAGGCTGCGACTGCGACTGCAGTCGGCGATGGCGGAACTGGGTCAGTGGAGCGGATGGAGGCGCGTGGGCCGCGGGATGCACACACCTTTTCGACGTCGCCGCATAAAACACCACTGCAGCATCAAACATCACACTCTGGACGGTGATTGGGGGTGAGAGGTCAGTGACTCCGGCCGCTGCTTTCTCGCCCCGGATGCGTCGCTGCTCCAGGCCGCATTCGTCGTACCCGCATGCGGCCACCCTTTCTCTCTCAACCGATTGTCCCTTGATCCCTTGACGTTCCAGGGGATTGAATTCGATTCGACTCGATTCTATGCTTCGACTCGAGAAATTGATCGGAAGATGATTGTTCGAAGATCGAGGATGAGTGACCGATCGATGATTGGGGATGACACTTGGTATGGCGTATCTAGGGATGTATTTTTTTTTTTTTTAAATTGAAGGAAGGATGATGAAGGAAGATGGATGATAAGATGGTGATGGTCTTATTGCTCCTTTGACGTAACGTTGAAAATTGCAGAAGTTTTTAGTACACTGTATAAAGCTTTAGTGTTGTATCTTGTTTTTCTTTCTTTCTTTCTTTCTTCTTAGCTTGTTGGAAGGGTTGGAGGATATTGCTTTCCTCTGTTGCGAGATTGTTCTGTGAGAGACTGTGGTGTTATCGAAGATTGATGGAACAAACTCTGTGTTTTCTCTTTCTCTCTCTCTTTCTCTCCTCTTTTTAGGGTGAAATATTAGATATCGACGTAATGCGATTAGGTCACAGAAGAAGTTTGCTCGAAATCTAATTTTTTTGGAATTCGATTGTACGTTGGATAGGCGTGTCACTTTCTTTCGTTTAAAGATCGGTGGATGGATGTTATTTCTTCGTATACGATATGGCTTTGGACGATGTGCTTTTGGCCTTGAATCCTAACTTTTTCGATTCGTTTCTTTTTATCTGATAAAAAATTGCTTTACGCGTCTTTTTCTTCTTATTTCGCAATTAAATTGCTAGGCACGACACGTTTCTCTTGCAGTAACTGCAAACGTTAATCGTTTCTTAATCTTTAACGTTCTGGATTTTGGTCTTTTTTCCCGCTTCTTTTGAGAATATTAGATTAGATCTCCGCTTTTCTCCACAAATTTCACGACACAATGCATTTCCATCAAGGGACAATCTCCCGGGATCTCAGCCTTCTCAATTTTTTTATTATTTAAGGTATCTCTTCCTTTTTCAAAAATGTCGCATTTTAAGAATTCCACGACGATAATTCTTACTTGGGCTGTTAATCTTCAAACGTCTCTTTTCTATTTCCTCTTTGAAACACAGATATATAAATTTACAATCGTATACCATTTATCTGTTTTCGAATAAAACGAAACATCAAAAATCCATCTCCTTTGCATAAAGAAAATCTTGCACCAGTGTTCAGTTCACCAATAATCAGTGAAACTTGTATCTTTTCCACGCTACAAATATTTTCACACACGCACACACATATACACATACACCACAGTTTTTTCACTTTTCACGCCTTTCTCGAAAAAAAAGAAAGAAAAATTATCTCATCATCGGCGAGCAAAAAATCTTTTTTGCACCATCCGTTCAATCACTCGTTCCTCTTCCGTGGGAAAGCCCGCACGAAGCGATCGAAGCGACCACGTTTCCCCTTCGTCGCGCGCGGAAAATCGAGTTGCCCCCTTCCTCGAGCGCTCCCCTCTGAAATATCGATCCGTGACTTTCGATCAAAGGCCGCGTCACGTGTTCCCGTTGCACCACGGCCTCGTTATATATCGACCACATGTGCGGCGAGGTAAACAATGTTGCTTATCGACGAGTCGCAGCGAACCGCTCGATAAGGTTGTCGAATCTATATCGAAACACGGCCTGACCCTGGCGAATCTCCGATAACCCATTATTGTCGGGGACGTTTAATTGCCGGATTAAACGGCGCCAATTAGCCGGATTTGGCGCAGCCTGCACCCGCGATTTATCGCTCCCCCGAAATATGAAACGTGTCTTCGAGGAAACCTATAGATCACACCTGTGAACCCCCTCCTCTCTCTGATTTTAGTTTCGAAGTCGCGATGATCGATGACGAGAGTTTTAAGGATGCGAATGATACGTGGTTATTGATACGAGGTATATATATATTTCAAAATTTGAAGGTAAATTTTGATTGGAAAAGTATTTCTCATTATTGTATGTCTTTCTCTTTTGGATTCCTTTTCTCGATTTCTTTGGGAATTAGAGTTTGGGATTTTTTTGAGAATATAAAGTTTAATTTTGGATTATTTATTTCTTTTCATGATATGAATCAAAAAAGTGTTATTATATTGAAAAATTAAATTAGAAAAATTGTTCTTTATTTATCTTTATTTATAATCGAAAAGAGTTTAATTATGTAATTCTTCTCGAAAGGATTAGATTGATGAAATGTTGTAGAATTATTTGTTCGGTAGTTGAATTGAATATAAATAATTTTATTCAAATTTATTCATCGTTTTAATCAAACTACGTAAATAGCCTATGGTACGTATTAGTTTTCGTATAAAATAACTATCTAATCAATGTATATATAGTATATATTTATACAGAGAAAAACAGAAGAAAATACGACGTCAAGTGGAATTCAAGTCGAAATCAACAAAAGATTAATCCCTCGACTCAATAATCAATTTTAATTACAATTTCAGATGTGGACCCTTTATCGTTTGGATATCGTGAAACTAATCCACTGAGGAACCTCGAATAAACTTACATGAAATTCATCATTCAAGTTTAGCGACATGAATATTGAAACAATTGAACTTTCACTTTCACAAGAAAAACTTAAAATTTGATAAATTACAGAACAAGGTTTGTACAGAAAATTTTAATAAAAATCACATTATACGTAAAATATATCTCTATTTCTAGTACCCTCTATGAAAAATAAAAAAGATTCTCGTACATCGAAAGAATTATTCCTCGAACTTGGAAAAATAAACATTTCCAAATTATAAAAGTAAATAGTGAGTTTTTGATGGCGTTGAAAGTGTACCCCGTCGCATGAGACGCGTTCATTCAGCGTGCAAACGTTAAAAAATGCGAGAGAGGTGCGAAACCGTGGAAGGTGGGGCGATATTCAAAGCAATGCCGTCGCAATTTTCTCTGAAACGCCGTTAGAACGTTCGTCGCCTCGGTGGAAACGATAATTTGGCGCGGGGGGATAACGATTTATACGGTTTTCCTCGTGGGCCTGGCTCGATTAAAGCGAGTTGAAAATTCGCGAGAGAACTCGAAAAAAAAAAAAGAAAAAAAGAAAGAATAATTTCACCTGGAATTATCTGTGAAATGCGACGGCAGACGAAATATTTTATGGAAATGCAGGAAACAATGGGCTTGGATGATAAATAAAAGAGGATTAAGTGCATCAAAGGTTTGACGTTGATGAATATTAAAAATGCAAATAATAAATGGAGAATAAAGCGAAATTAAATGACACGTTTTTGAAATTGTGATCAATAGAAAATGGGATAAAATGATGGATTAATTAAGATACCAAAATTAAGTTTGAATAAAATTTCCAATCTTTTTTTAATTAAGTTGTAGTTTAAAAATTATGAATGTTTCATTTATTATTATTTGTTTATTGTATCCATATAAATTTTACAGATTTTACAATAATATCTACAAGAGTGTATTATTATACACTGCTCGATCCTTAATGGGTCAATGCAAAAAAAAAAGGGTGCAGAAAACTTTTTAAAATTATTAAGCAAATAATAAACTTACTTAAAAGCCATTCATTTTTCATAGTTTGTTATGAGAGTAAATTACAAATTCTCGTTACACTCGTTACAGCAGAATATTACACTTTTGCCATAAAAATTTACATAAAAAAATACTGATTTCTTAAAATAAAGATAACTATAATATTCCATAGTATTAACCGATCTTCCTATTAATTGTAAGCTCTCTTAAATATGCATAACGTTTCTTAAATGGAATAATTAGTCGATGGAGCAGGATGTAAGGCGGGAACTTGTGATTAACCCTCAGGTAAGATTTCACGATTACAAAAATACGATAATCTCTCGTTCGAAACCGAGCGAAGAAATGTTCGAAATGTTCATTATCAAAGAATGAGAATTAAACAGAGAAAGGAAGCTATCAATAACGAGTCTCTAATTACCTCCAAGACAAAAAATTATCAAACAAGAAATTCCAAAATAAATAACAAAATTGTGGGATCGAACAAACATTCATTTTTCTACTGCCTAGAATTTTTTTAAGAATAAATATTGATTATTAAGTTGAAAGTCGACTAAAAGAAAAAATATGAAAGGACTAAATATAAAAGGAATAAATAAAAGCGAGTAGTAGAATCGTTGTAGAATTGATTCGATATGGAAATGTGAAAGAACTGTAAAAGAGGAAAAAAATATAAGGAAAAAGTGATGAAAGAGTGTAGAAAATAAGAAAATCGGTAGTGTCAAAATAGAAAAATCCGATTATGCGATATCGCGTTTCGAAGAACGAACGAACGATTTATTAAACGCGTGCAATGAAACGAATACATCGAATTTCGTTGAACGTCGATACATGTGCGATTTATCGTTTTTCTATCGTGATAAAAAAGGAATTATAGATAATAATATTATTTCTAGCCTGTTATGTCGGTTTAAATTATATTGGATCGTTGCATAATAAATATTGTTTCGAGATAAATGAAATATCAACAAGTATAACTTGTTTTCTACTATCTTAATCCTTTCTGTAATTACGTCGCATTGAGATAAACGGTAAGTTAAGAAGCTATTATAATTTATTTTCCATCCAGTTTGAAACTTTTTTTTCTTCTCGATTATAATTTTAAATTATACGAGACGAATAAAATATTTGTAATTTTAACAGAAGAAAATTTTTAATCAAATTCAAATTCAATCCGAATTGTTGATTTCAATTTCTCGTATAAAAAAATATCGATGTTCTTATCATTTTGAAATTACATTATCGAAAATTAGAATTGTTTAAAGTTACGAATTTTCGTAAGAAAGCGGGTTCGATTAATTCAAGTTGCTCTCTTGCAGCAACTCGTTTGTTACACGCGCAAATATCTCGGTGAGTCACAAATCGAATCACACACCTGGCATATAAAAGTGTGATAAAAATTATCAGGAATTATGCGTATAAATATAAACATTTACATTATGTAACAATATAACGAAATATAAAACACTTCTACGCGCATAAAAAGAAAAATAAAATAATTTAATTATTAAACCACAGATTAAAACGAGAAAAAAACTTATTTTTAACGGCTCGCGATTCGCCGTGCAAACAAACAATCAAATTTAAATTCGTTAAAATTTCAATTTCTCGTTAACGGTCTTTCCTTCCGCGATAAAACTGGAATATCGTTGAAGCAGCGCCGATACTTCATGCTTCATTACAAGGAAGTCTGTATCGTTCGAGGTTATACAGTCTCCCCGGGCCGATTCGACACGTTTAAATGTCGATAAATTGCGGTCAGGCCGTAAAACGCGTCGTAAACCGAATAGATACCCTTGTATCTGCTTAAGTAACCCGTACGAGCCGTTCCAAAGGCGGAGATATTTTCGAGTTTCATCGATGCCTCCGATACACCAGAGGTTTGAATTATACTCGAAACGAGGGACAATGTTACGCTTGTAAACTGGCACGAGCGCGACAAAGACACCGGCGGCCATTCAGAAATAACGATTCTACGGATCGATGAGGATTCACTAGACGTACGATATTCAATCGCACGCGGCATAAGTATATCGCGCATTGCACGGCTAATTCTATTCGACGATAGACGAGAGAAATTGTCCACGGATAACGAGTTATTTCGTGGCGATGATATCCTGAACCGGGACACCGATATTTCATGAAATCGGATCGAAATTGTAGAGAAAGATCCATTCGAATAGATGTAACATTTCTGAGAAGATAT